AAACCACAGACACATATGCACCAGTTAACTACAGAAGATACATCACATGCACTGTAGACTGACCCACAATAACAGAAGATACATCGCATGCACTATAGACTGACCTGGCGGGAGGATGTTGCTCTTGTTGGCTGGGGCGTCTTTTTCGGTTGCACCGCTATATGCCTGCACGTCCGCATTCTGCAGAAGATCTGTGCTGCTCTTCAATTTCAGCAGCGACCTGGATGGCCCAAATTCAACGGTAGAGGTCACGGTTTTGAGTACACGATAATGGCTGGAAGTGGCCAAGAATTGGGAAGCACACCTACTACGCTCGGAGTCTTCTAGATGGATGGTTTGAGACTACATACTCCAAGGACCCGCTAGGCTATGCGCAGCTCACAAATGGACTGCTCCACCGCCGTACAGAATATAAAAAGAAAGCACACACACATTCACGTACAACCCCCCCCCCCCATGTGCATGGCCCACATCAGTCGCCCGTCCACACCTACCCCAGTGAACTGATAGAGCCCCTGCGCTTGAGCTTGGCCTCGCTCATCCCGTGGCCCAGGCGGCTGTTCACGCCCAGGAAACTCATGCCAAACGTCGACACGCACAGATGCACCGTGACAACAGCCCTCACAGCGTCCAGGATGTAGTCCTCCAACACAGACGTGGCCGCGTGCTGCGCCTCGTACACGGCGTGGAAGTCGGCCTGTATCCTGTCGCTTGCCATGGTTTGTGCCTGAAAGTTTTCTTGTGTGTCGGCTACGGCGCCGGTGAGTGTGGTGAGATGGTGGGAGTGCGGAGTGAGTGCGTGAGTGGGCTGTGTGTGTAAATAGGGCGCGTGTGATGGTGTGTTTATTGAGGACAGCTTGTTCTCAGTGACGTTTGCGGGTTAAGATGATATGACAGTCGTGTTGACTGCTGGGTTCGTAGGCAGAGGGGTGCGGTGGTGGGTGTGGTGTTCGTGACTATATATGCGAACAGAGTGCATCGCTTCATTCGCTGGGCTCGGACGTGTTTGTGCGTGTCGGCTATGGTGCCAACGTTTGGTTGGCGGTGATATAAATGTTTAAGCGCGCGTCTGCGTATGTGGCAAAGGGTAATGACGATGATTGGCATGGATGTGGCCCACTTTCAGCGTACAGACGGCACTTAGTCCATCATAAGCATTTCACTAGGCAAGAACATGTTGCATAGGTTTTATTAGACACTCTAAAACATCAGGAGACCAATTCACGTAAGCCCTAAACCCAAGCTAATTCCTAAAAACCCTAATTGTGTGACCAGGAACCCGAGATGTGGACAATTAACATCCTCAGTAAGCCGGAACGCCGAGATGTCTAAGACAATCCCAAACAAAGTAATGAAAACCAACGCGTTAACTCCCACATACTAAAGTACCAACACCCTAACATACCAGTGCCCAGGGACTTGACCAGCCGATCATTGACATCCTCGGTCAACCGGAACGCGTTGCAGAGGTTCTTGAGACACTCCAGCACAATGGGAGAGCAGTCAACGCGATGGATGGACGGCATGGACTGCTGATTGGTCGGTTGCACCTTCTCGGAAACCTTTTCAATCTGGCACTCGGCGTAGAACTTGAGATTGTTAACGATGCATTCGGTGACCTATGCGTGTGTATGAGCGGTGGCTTTGGTTGAACATTCATTTGGCGGCTAGTTGTTGTGTTGAATTGGAGTATACGTCCTGAGGCAGTTGGCTTAGAAATATATTGCGTGGCTGCACCTGCAAGGCTAACGAGACATCTGGCCAGCTATGCCTGAGAGGCGTGTTTGGTTGGGCACTTGAGGCGTATCAACATGTTGAATCGATTTGATTTGTCTATCTAATGAGCTAGCATGATGGGTTGTCTGTAGGCTACACGGTGACTACTATTTATGAACTCAGATGGCCTATGCATGTGCATGAGAGACGAGATAGGCTAAATGCTTGTGGTCAATCGCAGCACTTGCGATCGAAACGCGTTATCATCGTTCTCTGTGCGACGGCAGGTGATGGTATTTTGTGTGATGGCAGGTGATACCTACCCGATGCATCATGGAATTGCACACTATCGAACCCATCTGCGGAATGTTTTAAGCTGCACTCAGCAGCCTATTGGAAATACGTATATTGCCAACGAGTGATTCAAACTAGCGTCGTGAAATACCGGCGAATATTTCTGAGAATGTAGACGTATCAGGCCTTCTGATCGGACTGAGTTCGAGTGAAATGCCAACGAGTCAATGGTGGACCGCGCTACATATAGATAGAGGCACTATGCATTACACAACGGGCAAAGAAGAAACTTAGTTCTTAAGCAAACCTAAATCTGAGTGCGGAATTGAAACACCTCCAAACATGTCATTGAGGCACCGGGGAGGACGAACTTATATCCGAACAAGCCAACAACCTCTAAGCCGCGAGAGCAAACTAAAGCCTGACTAGGCTTAAGCCTGACAAGGCTCTCTATAGACATCGAGCTAGATTTTCATGCATCTATGAGGGATGGCTACCACACTTACCGCTAAGGTCAACTCAGCTCGAACACTCGCAACGGGCCAGTTGAGGCTCTCGATAAACTCCACCACCGGATATATACTCCTGCGCGTAGAAGCATGCGCGTGTGAAGCAGAAGTCAGTGTACTGACACGGTGTAATACGACTGCACCAATAGCAAAGGCAGTAGCCAATAAGCAAACAGAGAACCAGCACAAACGTGTACGCTCACAATACATTCTTCCATCAGCAATGACAAATGAACAGATGCTAATACAACGAGCATCTGAAGCGCTTGATATAATAATGTAGTTGTTTGGACGACAGCGTGATGGGGGTATAGCCCATATGTGGCCACAAAGCAACAGAGACCAAAAATAAGCAACACATACGCTCGGATACTAAGAACACCTCCCACTTTACAGTCTCACCCATCTGGCAGGCGATCACCTTGCACACTAGAGCCGCATGAAGGAACACGACATACAACAAATCACTATAGTCTGTCATGCACGATAGACAGCGACCATTCGTAGTAGAGCATGTACACTGAGACACACATACACATGTAATATATATATATATATATATATAGAGTAGGTAGATTATATATACACAATTTCTATATACATATGTATATATATATATATATATAGAGTAAGTAGTGTGTACTATATATATTAGTTATTATTATTATTATATATATATATATA